CTCCCCTTTCCTTGCTCCCTCCCCCTCCATTCCTCTCTTCCCCCCTCCCTTTCCCTTCCCCCTTCCTTGCTCCCTCCCCCCTCCCTTTCCCTTCCTGACACCACTCCCTCCCCCTCCATTCCTCCCTTCCCCCTTCTTCCCTCTCCCCTTTCTTTTCCTTCTTCTCCCTCCCCCTCTCTGTAACATAGAATCTAGTAAATTTAATTAATTTAATTAATAAATATACTTCAATTTTATTTTTTGTTTTGAGATCTAAGTTCAGGAATTCTGAATTAACTTAGGTCTGTGGCAGTCCAGTCCAGTCCAGTTTTGTGTTGGGAGAGTCCAGTGGAGTCCAGTTTTGTGATTTGCAGTCCAGCCCAGTCCAGTCCAGTCCAGATTTATGCTTGCAGTCCAGTGGAGTCCAGTGGAGTCCAGTTTTGTGATTGGCAGTCCAGTCCAGTCCAGTCCAGTGGAAGCCAGTGGAAGCCAGTGGAAGCCAGTGGAAGCCAGTGGAAGCCAGTGGAGTCCATGTGGATTATGTGGGGGATGGTAAAGTATTGACCATCTGGTCCCCTACCATCTTTTTCATCGGTAAGACGCATCTCGTTTTTTGGTCCATCCACCCTTCCTCGCACCCTGGTCGTGTTGCGTATCTTGGGCCATGCGTGCACCCTGCCTTGCGCCCAAGTCGTGTTTGATTTTTTTGGGGATCCACCCTTCCTCGCGCCTGTGACCAGACTATGCGTTGGTTGCAGCAATCAGACTATATGTCGGTTGCAGCAACCAGACTGTATGTCGGTTGCTGCACAAGAGAATCACATCTCCTGGCGAATACTCGATCCCGGGAATACGCACGGAGCTGTGATTCTCTCGTCATTTCATTTGACCCCACCATTTCTTGGTGAAAACTTTGATCCCAGATGTTTATCGAACAAGATTTTGATTACTTTTCACAGGTACACATCACTTTCAAAAATGTCGGGTAGAATGAGTTCATGTACATATTATTGTTCTGTTATTTCCTCCATTCATAATGCTGATAACTTACACAGATGGCAGCCCAGATTGCTATGGCTGCGAACATTATGACAACAGTGACACAAAGTGGCCCTTGAATCAACAGGATTGTGGTGGGTGACAATTGTGCTCTTCTAAGACTGTAATAACCATTTGTTTTGGTAGAGGATATCACTCCCTATGATGCCCTCATCCTGGGTGAGCTCAATGAATCCTTCACCCCTTCAACGACATCGATGTCCACCCATTCTCTTCCAGGGGGACAATTGGTGCCTAGACGAGGCGTGGTGACTTCACCCAATGTATCTTGGTTGCCCTACATCACCGTCGCTCCTTTGCCTGTCCAAGCCTGCACTAATGGTCAATTTGCACATGCCGACTTCACCATCTGCCCCCAATGGTGGTTCAGCAAAACGGCCCACCTCACCTTCGTGCTCTGGCGACCACTCGAGCAGGACATCAGGAAGCACCCCCTTTCTTGGCTCTGGTGGGATGTCCAACCGAGGCATTTTAACCCTGTGGAAGGCTCAGCTTTCCAAGACTTAGGAACTCTCGATGAGAAGATCGCAGGCGTCATGAGATCAGAGGCCAAAAAGCTCCATTCCCAAGTAGCCGAAATCGCACGCACCAAAGACCCAAAATCTGTGGTGGTCTCTTCTTCATGGCCAACCGGATGCGCAATGCTTCAGGCCACCTCTCACTCACAACATTTTACTATTGGGATCTGGTCTGGCACGTTGCCAGCTTCCAAAGGCTGTACATGGAAACTCTTGCAATGGTGGACTGGTTCAAAACCTGGGAGGCTCGCCTCCTTGAACCTAACCGACAGGTTTACCCTGTTGACGAGACTGTGATGGGGGCCATTACTGACAGTCTCGAGACAGCAGAGACTCTCTTCCACATTGGGGCGCCCGTTTGGCTGGTTCGTACCCCAGCCAAAATACATCCACTAATCAACATTTTGAATGTACACCCCCCAACGCCAAAAAGCATTGCCACCCTCCGCGATTGCCGTCCTTCTGAGGTAGACCCCTGTGAACTCTGCCTCGATGACTATCCAGAACGCCATTTTCCAAACATCACGACGGCTTCCCCTCGAAGCACACTCTACATACAGGCATGTCAGGCGCATTTCAAAGGGTTTCTTGGGGCAGAAGACCTGAAGCCAGTTGTGACGGAGCCGCAAAGTGGCTCGTTATCCGTAGAGCCAGGTACAGGGCCCAGTCGAACAGACCGCGAAGTTCTTCGAGTGTCCCCTTGTAAGTTTGTTGCTAAGTTCACATTGATTCTTGCTCACAAATTAATGCATTAGACTCAAATCCTGCTTCATCCTCAACAAAGGCTTCAGGGAGTATGTCAGGGGGTATGTATTAATAGTCTACTTGCTTTGCTTTTATTGATGAAAATGTCTCTAAGTCACAGCATGCGTAAATCGCGATAAGTTTTGCGAGATTGAGGAGGCCTTCATACCCCCTCAATCCCTGGTGTGGAAGAAGGCGCTGCAAAACGTGAATCTCGACCCCTCCCGCATCAAGTCCTCCAAAGATCATGTCCGTGGTTACCAGTTTCCCGACCCCTGGCTTTTTATGAAGGGAACAAACCATAAGGCTTTCACGCTCGCTTGGCTGATTTCGCACAGCCAGTGGCTTCAATCCTTCATGTCTCTCGATTACTCTCCATCGCCCGCCCCGCACACTCAACACTGGTGCGATTTCCTGTATCATTTCTCAAAGGAGATGAATCTTGTTGATGGTTCGTGGGCTGAGAATCTTCCAACATCACAACACAGTAAGAAGGGTAAAACTCCGGCAAAGGGTGGTAGAAAATCGGAAAAGTCGAAGCAGAATTACACCATCAAGCGAGGGGAGTCTCTAAAGAATGCTCAAACTACGTTTTTCGGACCCAGGGTTAAATTGGGTGAATGTCCGCATTCGATCTTCTGGCATGATGTTTCGGTGATGGAGGGGAATACCGACAATCTGACACCAGCGATTTCAGCGGAAATTCTGTGGAACCTTTTTGAGCAAAACTTTCGTTTGGAGCTTCGTATGGTCGACCAGCAAGTTTTACCGGCAAATTGGGCCTCGCAGGAATTGGCGGCAGTTCGAGATGAGTTGGTTTGGAGGACTTTCCCTGAGGACGATGATGGATATATTGTTGGGAGATTGCCAGAGACCAATGTGGGACTCGTCACAGAGAACTGGAGGGATCGGGCAAGGTTGGTAGAAGCTTTATGGGCGCTCATCATAGGTTGGCCTGGTCCTGATGCGTGTGCACTTGCATCAATGTCAATATTTGATGGGTCTGGGAAGTTGGCAACAATGCGCACGGACTTTGAGCATATGGAGGAAATGGCTGTCGGACTGTATTGCCAAACATTCTTCGATTACTTTGGTCGTGCCCCCTCCACCCCACATCGCATTGCTACTTCATAATTGCCAACTTTGTCATCTCGGATTCTTTTGTCTTGTCGGTGTTTATATCTTGCACGTTTATTTTGGTACCTTTCTTTTTTTAATATACATGTGAACTTGCATCCGTTTTAGGAAAGTTTTGGGGTCAGATAAGAGTGCCTTGTCTGTGATCGACATTCTGCTTTCTTCCCCCTTCTTTGTGTGTCCTTCACTCAGCCAAGTCATCATGTCAATGTACAAGAAAAAACCAGCTAAGTCTTTGCCACCAGAAAATGCTGGCCTTTTTCCTGTAAACACTGCACCCAAATCCTTGAAGGCCCATAAAGCTGTTAAAGGAAATCTGTACACACCAGCTGGACATTTTGTCCAGCCCTTTAAGCCTGGGGTTTCCAAGAAAGCAGACCCTTTTCAGCCACTGGCAACAACTCTTACCTTTGAAAATGAAGGTGATACTGTCCAGTTACCAGGCAAAAAGCAGAAACAATTTCAGCATTGGGAAACTGAGGTTTTTCCCAGTCTAATGGAGCCATATGTCAAACTTCTCCATGAAACGGACTCTTTGCAAGATATGGTGCAAGTTCGTTCTTGAAGTTGCTGCTCTGGTTGTGGGTCAGGCAGACAGTTGAATGTTGCATGAATTTTCTTTGAGTGTATGTGTTCTGGTATATCTCGAGAAGTCACTAATAATTTTGGCAGGTATTGAGATTCTTTCCCTCTGCAATTGCACTTCCCCAGCACTTCAACTCCTTGAGCTAGGGTTCTTTCCATGTGCACCAGTTAATCCATCTCTCGCAGTGGACTTGAATATGCTCGAGTTTGTAAATGAGCTGTTTGTAAATGCAGCTCCAAATACTACAGCTTGGTGTGAAACCTTGGAGACCTTTCTTGGAAACAGAAGATACAAGTTAACAACTCGGGTATGTTTTATTTGTTTTCTGTCAATGTTTTTTCCTTGCTCAAAAGTTCTTTTACTTTAGAATAGTTTGTGTCGTCGTTTTGGAAGTGCTATGCAGTGGTATGCGACTTTGATTGACAAGAAGAACCTTCTTGTCAACAATTATCTGGATGATATGAGAAGTTCAATCAAATTTTCAGGTATTTCTTGCCTATGACAATGTTTCTTGGAACTAAAAACTTTTCAAACAGAAGACCATGATATTGAGCAAGGTATTTCTTTTTCTGGCTCAGTCAAGATATATTTCTGCTGCAACTCAAACATTTTTTCACAGATGAAGAAATGGACCAATGTTTTTTTTTTTTAATCAGAAAGATTTGTGTAATTCTAACTTTTTTTGAACAGATAAGGATGTTGGAATGGAACAAGGTTTGATTTGTTGCATTTGAGAGAAGAAATCTTTCAATTTACAATAAAACTTTTTTTGCAGATGAAAACATTGAAATGGCTGATGGTATTTATTTTTCTTTTAAGTGAAAAGTTCTTATGCTAATTCTTTTTTTGTGTAACACAGATAATATTGATCAAGGTGTTTTTTTTCCTTTGGGCTCAGAAAACATTTCATGTCTAACTCTTTTCACATTTTTTAGAAGATAATATTGAAATTGGTATGTGGTTTTTTGTCCAGTGAAAGGAATGTACTGGAGCAAATGTTTAGATGAGGATATGCACACTGCTGCACCAAACTTGGAAAGACCAAGTGACTATCTGAGAGGACGGTCTCCTTTGTGCTTTGGTGGAAAAGATTGGTCAAAGCCTGATGATTTGTATGTGGAGTTTTTGGCCAACACTATTATTGTGATCTCAACTTTTTTTTTGTAAGGGTTGATTTCATTGTATGCTTGTATGCTTGTTTCAAGCAAAAGTCGCGAAAGGCTCAGGGTAAAGAGCCACCTGCCCCTCGGAAGCATCCGGATACAGCATTCATCTCTTCAGAAGATGTCAAGGCAATGGAGGATATAGTCAATGAAATCCGCCCAGAGCCCAAATCTGGTTCAAAATAGTGTTTAAAGGTTCAGTCCATACGACCGCAAAAAACCGGTGGACCGAACTGAACCGGACCATGGTCCGGTCTTTTTTTCGGTTGCAGTTGCCCCAATTTGGGGTTGGTCCGGTTGCCGGTTGCCTCATTTCGAAAATATATTAAAACCGTTCAAAGACCGGTTTTGATCGGTTGCAACCGGTTAAACGGTCACGTGCGTTACATACCCTTGTAACCACGTTTATTACCTTTTATTGGGTTTTTGTTTCATCAAAAACGGTTAAGAATTGAGAAAGATATAACCAAATTCATATTTTACCTGAGTCTCTACGAGAAGTAATTCGGTTTCAGTCATAGCTATGTCAAATCTTCATAAAATCTCTTCAAAATTGGTAGAATGACGGGTATTTACATGCTTTACTATTTTATATAACCCATTTATTTTTCAGAGTAATAATAGTTGAGATACAAATGGTTTATATTGGTATAATAAATTATACGCAAAAAAACCGGTCTGGATCGGTCTGAACCGGCTCCATAGACCGCAATAGACCGGTCCTAGGTGGTTCGGTTCGGTTCCCTCAATATCTGGGTCGGTCCTAGACCAGTTGCGGTCCACGGTTGCGCGTTTTGGGGGCAAAAAACCGGACTGAACTGAACTTGCGAACACTAGTTCAAAAGGTAAAAAGTCACAAGATACTCCTTTACAGCCTCAGAAGGATGAAAATCCTGACTTGTGTGAGCCTGGACTCAAAGTTCCAAACTCTGTGCTGAACATGTGTGGAGACTCTTTTACTGCTGCAGATGAAAAACAAGTTAAAGCTAGCACTCAGTTCTTTTCTGATACTGGACTCATGGCTCTTCTCTGTGAACATGATCGTGTCTTATGGCTGGTAAACATGACTTCTGCAGGAGAGAAGCAACACTATGCTCTGGTTCTTTTAGAACATTTGTTCAACCATTTACCCTCGACTGCTAGAGTGGGTT